AAAAATCAAACCAGCTTGCAAGGCTAATCCGAGAACTCTTTTGTATATGCCTTCCACTCTTTGAGAAACGTCATCCACCCAAGACCTGACCGTAACACCAGGAGACCCCTGCGCCACTCTGTCCAAGATGTTGTACAAAGAACAGCGAGAGAAATCCACTGCGCCGCCGAGTCCAGCTATCATGCCCTGCTCGGGTATGATGGCATCAGAATAATAACCACTGTCACGGAGGAAACGCACTCCCATGTGTAAAATCATCTCCAATGCCAAGATGCACGGTGGAAAATCGTGCTCCATACCAGTCTCCAGTAAGAGCTGCCACTTGAGAGCGTCGTAAAACCCCTCAATGTCCCACAGCACGCTGGCCTGCACCCAATCTTTAATCGTGGTGAGCGCGACCGTCTCGTCCAGGTAGCTGCGAGCTAAGGCCTCGCGCAAGGCTGAGGAACCTGCCACTGCTGCATCCCAATGCCCAGCCTTTGCCTTAGTCCAGCTGGCACGGTACTCGCCTCGACAACTCGACCAGAGCCTCGCCAAGGTCGATAATATACCAATGGCCCTGTCGTCACCGCTCGGCTTGCGTAGAAGAGTGACCAGAACCACCGTAAGTTGCCAAGGCCATGCCACTGACTGTTCGATAAGTTGAAAAAGTTGGACCAGCTCCTGCTCACCTTGCTCGGGCAGCCAGATGAGGCCCCTCTTCCCCAACTGCTCAATGCCCTTCGCCGAAGTGCCCTTCATCCTTCGGATGCCGTCTTCCAGCGTCTCCAAGTCGAAGAGAGGGAAAGCATCTTCACGAGCGCGAGCCCTAGCACGTCCCAAGAGTATGGTGACCTGGCCGATGTCGAGCTGCTGGTCGCTCCACTTCTTCTTCCACACCTTAGCCCGAATGTCCATCGCCGTGAGGGGGTCCGACGATATTACCTGGCCTTCCTCGAACTCATCCTTCGAGGTGGCCTTGTCCTTGATAAGTCGAAACAGCTTCCCAGGTGCTGCAACGTACTGCTCCTCCGCCCATTGGGAGAAGGCCAGATACTGGGAGTAACATTCCATCCGCTGCAAGCTGGCAGCAATCTTGCTGCTCTCGTCCTTGTAGCGCCTGATGGTGTCGTTCGTGGCGATGTTGAGCTGCCGCAGCTTCCTGCACCAAGCCGTTTTCTCCTTGTGCGGGAGAGAAGCCAGGGTCGAAGAAGGAACCCAAGCCGTGGCCTCCCTGAGCCTGGTAATTAACTTCCCAAACCGAGGCGATTCTCGCTTGGAACTGGCCCTGTCCAACTCCTCCATCAAGAAAGCAATCTTGGCCCACCAGTCCACTCCAGGATCCCGTGTGCGTGTAAAGGGAGGGGACGGCACCACTTTATGGGTCCTGGTAAGTCGAGCCAGACCTCGGCCTCGATGAGCCTTGCTGTCTTTGTCCAGACCCTCACCGTCGAGCAGGTGGCTGAAGAACTCTTCAACCTTGCCAACCCACTCACCGAAGGCAATGCCCAGCTTGCCAGCACTATCAGAGGTAAGCAGCCAAGCGTGGGAGTCCGTGACGTACGACGGCGGTTCCGACCAGCGATGATCCTGAGGTATGCTGATGGACGACCAAAGATCGGCACGCTGATCAACTGACCACTTATCGCCTAAGCCAGCTCCACCCCCAGGAGGGACCAGGCCTTCATCTTGGTCCTCTGGTTCGTCAGGTAGAGGCTCGTCGTCGTCAGGCTCGCCCTCATCGCTCTCTGAATCCTCCCCAAGATCCATAGGACCCAAGAAATTGAATGGAGGAGGAGATTTGATACCAAGCCGCCGTCTCTCCCCAAGCTTGGCGATCTTCGGTCTCGCTGACGTTGGAGTAGCCACCACCACCAGCTTCCTCGAGCGCTTGCTGTTTGGATCCGCCTGCTTCTTGGGCTGAGGCGGAGGGCCAAAAGCCTTTGGTAAGCTAAGAGTTCGTCCCTCAGCTGGCTTGGCAGCCAGAAGTAGATCCAAGACAATACCGTAATGCGCTTTGCCGCCTTCGCCCACTAAGTCCGTGTCGGCGTGAATGCGGTCCAGGTACTCCAAGGCAGGCCCTGAGGCCACAACATAGTCTAGGAGCGTTCCCTGCCCTCCAGTGTACGTGTAGTCCACGTTGTCTGCCACCAAGATATTGCCTTGGACCAAATTGAGCCACCCGGCCTTGCGGAGGGTATCTGGAGGGAAGTTCCAGTCGCATAAGATGACCCAAGGTGTCGATAAAGAGGAAACGAGTGAGGCCAAATGTCTAAGTTTCTCCACGTTGGCGCCCGTGATGCCCAACCCATTGTATAGGTAGCCTCCGATAATCGTGAGATGTGCACCTTTCAAAAGCACCTGCATCCCGACCAGATCCTTAAAACGAACTCCAGTGGTAAGAGCCGCCACGTCCTTCTTGCCTTTATCTGCTCGCTTACCAGGTAGCTCGTCCTTGTTGGAGGCCAAGTGCCTGAGTGACCAAGAAGACCATTTCTTTGAGACACCCATCGCGACACCACCAGCTTTCTTCGTGAAGATAGCCGACTCAGCACCCGCTGGGCACACCATACTTTTGTAACCAGCTTTATCAAACTCCAACAAGACGTCATTGGTTTCGGCCATGTCCATGTGGGTCTCCTGGATGATGACCGCGTCGTAGGACCGCTTCAACAGCGCCTTGGCCGACGTACCCCAGGTCGACATATTACGCATGTACACCCGAAACTGTGCACCATCTCCTTTGTCAGCCTTCGCCTCCTTCTCGGTAGCCTGAGTGGCCCCAATTGCTTGTATGACCCAGTCCCAGAAGATGCGCATTCGATCCTGAGCCTGATCGTCCTCCATGTCGCCGTCAACTTGGTCAGGAAAGGAACGATCTGGAGGAACTCGATTCCCGAGAAGGCGTCGAAACCGTCGGCGCAGCTCACTAAGGTCGTCGAAATGCCATCGCAGGAATCTCCTGTAGCGCCTAGGGTTCCTGATGGAGTTGAGCGTGTTGAAGAAGAAAGCCCTGTGCGGCTCCGCTGTGACCCAAGCGCGCGTGCATAAATGTTCTGCGATGTCCTGCAACGACATGCGGTAGTAATTCTCCAGGTTCTGACGGAGGCCGCGCATAGACCGACGTGAGAGCGATGCCACAGTGTACGGAACACACCACTCCTTCCAATGTTCCAAAGAGTTGTAGCGCTCGCCTCTGATGTCGTGGACCCACCTGGACGCGGCAGCAGTCATATCATACCTAAGATCTCGTCGCTCTCTGGCTCGATCCACTCTGGGAAGTTGAGGAGGTCGTGGCCGTCGATCTCGAAGTTCAGAGCCTAAGTCAGCGTAGAGCTCCCAGGTAACCTTCCAGCCACTTGCCTCAATCGTGCCCTCGATGAGAAGGAGACTGCCGTGCTTCGCGAACAGAGACCTTTCCTTGCCAACAGAAATCGGTGGCCAGTTTCCAACACGAGCCAGCCCAGCAAGTGGCAACGACGAACCTGGGTGTCCAGGATTTTGCGATCTAACACCAAGCCCAGAGAAGGACAGAAGAGGTGGCGACAATGAACCTGGCGAACCAGGATTTTGTGATCTAACACCTCGATGTCCACCCGTCTTGGAACGTGGCGACGTCGAACCTGGGTGTCCAGGATTTTGCATTCTGACGCCCGCCTGGAAGGAATCTGCCTGTGCCGTCGACTGCGAGAGGAACGTACCGCGGTCGAAATGGTTATTTGCCTCAAAGTGCTGCAGTGGCACAAGCTGATCTGTCCAGGAATCTTGAAAATTGACGCTGTCAAAAGTACGAGATAACTTCGAACCATGCCAGTGCCAAGCAGAGGTCTCAAGTGGAGTCACCCCCTGCGAATAAAGACTACTGGGGCTGCTATTCCCATCCATCAAATCAGGGGTCTCGAGAGAAGCCACCCCCTGCATCCCACTATCTGGGTAATTGAAATAACCACCACCAGAAAGCCCAAGAGAGGCTGCCATTTGAGACGCACGATCGTCCCAGAAAAACCAAACCTGGTCCTCCCAGATCGTGCCAAGGGTCCCGAGAGGGGCCACCCCTTGGTAAGTATGCTCACCCAGCGTGCTGCAGAACGTCTCTGACTCGAACTTGACAGGGGTCCCGAGAGGGGCCACCCCCTGGTATGCAGTCTCATATGTGGAGCTGTGGACCGAGGCCTCCCAGTCCGTGCCAAGGGTCCCGAGAGGGGCCACCCCTTGGTATGCAGCCTTATCTGTGGAGCAGTAGAACGTGTCATACCCGTCCGTGCCAAGGGTCCCAGGAGGGGCCACCCCTTGGCATGCTAGTAAGCTGTCGTCGCCCTGGCCGACGTTCGTGACAGGGGTCTCGAAAGGAGCCACCCCCTGCAATAAACTCGTGCCGCCGAAGTCCAGGCCAGGGGTCCCAGGAGGGGCCACCCCCTGGAATAACCTCCTGGAAGTCCAAGTTGATGCCGTACTTGTAGTAGATCTGCCCGACGTGCCCTCTTCACTGGCCTCCCCCTGCGCTGCTACCTGCCCAGGGCGGGGCGGGGGCCAGGGATCTGCCGAGGGTGGGCTGCTAAACTGTCGACTGTCTGCCAACTGCACCTGCCCTCTTCCTGGCCAGCGCTTCGTCCATGATGGTGCGGAGCTCCGTCTGCTTGCCGTCGACCAAAGGAGAGACACTCGCCCAGGGAGATTTTCCAGCCGCCGCTGTCTGAGTCGGTGCCGTAGGTGTGGAGGGAGTGGCCCCCACCGCAGGGCCTGTGGCTGAAGTAGCCGCCGTAGCCTCAGCGCCACCTGCTTCAACTGATCCTCCTTCGCCTGGATTGGCCGCCGAGGCAGGCGGGCACGAACTGGACTTGCGCTTCTTGGCCTGTTGCCAAGATCCGATCTCCTCCACCTTCTGCTGCTGCTGCGAGGCCAAATTTTCCACCACCTTGCGGAACTGCGAGTCCAAAGCCGCACGGAACTCCGTCTCGAAATTGCTTTTGCGCCGCTCGAACTCCTCGCGATCGCTATCCTCAAGGTCCACGTCATCGAAGAGCCCCCCGAAGCTGAGGTTGAGCTCCGCCTTTTGGTCCAAGAACTGACGGACGTCCAGCTTCCCCAACTCAGATGGAGACGAAGGCGGGACAGGCGCCAGCTCTTTGGCCACGAGCTCCTGCGCCACAATAGCATCTGCCAAGTTGCTCGCACAATCTCGGTAGAATCCCATGGCTTCTCCCAGCTCTTGCTCGAGACGGAGAACACGCTTTGCCACCTTGTCCATGCTGGCCTCGGCCCGCTCAACCTTCTGCGTCGCCTCCGTGAGCCTGACGGATGCAGGCTTCGGTGGTGCAGCAGCGGGAATTTGATTGACCAAGGTATCACGAAGTAGCTTTGCCTGCTCAGCTGCTGCACCTCCCTTAGCGATGATGCGCTCCAAGGCCGCCTTGTCCCCGTCCGAAGTCCCAGATCCGTGAAGAGCATCTGCTGGTTGCGGTGCCCCACCTCCTGTTCCTGTGGGCTTACGTCCTTTGAGGAAACAGCCGCAGCACTGGCAGGTGTAGTCGAATTTCTCCAGCAGGTCATTGTAGCAGAACTTCCCACAGACTTTGCACCAGGTCGCATCTCGTCCAAGCTTGGGAAGAGCAATGCGCTGCGAGATGTTCTGTCGAAGATCCGCTCGAGGGGTCGCTGGTCGCCAAGGCTGCATCGTGTAATTGCCGTATGCGTTCGAGCTACCATTCCCAAGACTGGGCCACTGGTCGCTGAGAGACATACTTGCGCCTGCCGTGGTCGAAGATTGATACCACGGCGCTCTGCTCTGCCAGGACTTATACTGCTGACGCCCTCCTTTCCCCATGAAGCAAGAATATGTAGTAGGAAACCTGTGGTGATCAGGCTCCTGAAAGCAATTGAGAACTGGCTGCGGACTAGCAGCTTCCACGTTGGCACGGAGGCGCGGAGCCCCCTGAGTGCAACCATCTTGAGCCAAAATGGCTACGGAGGAGGAGGAGGAGGAGGAGGGAAAAGAGGAGGAGGGAAAAGAGGAGGAGGATGATGAGGAGGAGGAGGAGGGAGAAAGGAGGAGGGAGGAGGGAGGAGCGAGGAGGGAAAAGGGGGGAAGCCAAGCTAGGTGCGCTCGCGTCATATCTGATGTCCTACACCTCCTTCCCATCCCTTACCATGGCGTTATATTCGCACAGTCGGATGTCGTACTATGGCAAAGCAATTACACGGCATAGCATGGTGTTGAAGACCAACGCGTAGCATGACATACCATGGCGCGGCGACGCTCCAAGTGGAGTGGAGTGGGGGGGCTTCTGCGGCCCCCAAAATAGACGAATCGGCATCGAATGTGTAATCACTTCCGATTGCTTTTTTCGGGGGGGGCTATTTTCTATATCTTGGGGCCCATTTGGAAGGACCGAAAGCCATGCCATGGCGTGGCACTGGAAATACTGTAATGACGTCAGCGTTGCAGCGGGAGCACGATTCGGAACAAGCGGAAACGCGGAAATGAGGCCAGCGCTGCAGCGGGAGAAAATTTCGGAACGAGCAGAAGCCCGAAAATGAGGCCACCGCTGCAACGGGAGCAACAATAAAAAAAACAAGCGAACACACACAACCCCCGGGAATCCTGTGTAGAAAACAAAACGCGGAAAGCGGGCCAGACATCTTCGGGACGTCATCAGGGGAGAGAGGAGAGTAGTATTCATATTGTGCCAGTGTGGAGGAGGAGGAGGACGACGAGGACGAGGAGGAGGGAGGGATGAGGGAGGAGGGAGGAGGGGGGTGGAAGGAGGAGGAGGAGGAGGAGGAGGAGGTGGTGGTGGTGGTGGTGGTGGTGGTGGAGCCGTTGGGGGCCATAGGTCGATGACGTCTCGCACATCTAGCCCCTAGGAAGCCACGAGCTACTGCAACTATGGGTATCGCCACCTCCGCTGCCCGCGGGAGCCGCGCCAGCCGTTGCTGGAAGCGATTGCAATACATTGCGACCAGAGGCCTGGACCCTGTCTCTCTGCAGCTTCTGCTGTGTCGAGCTGGATCGATCCGTGACGGCCCCCGAACCCCAAACCCCGGCGAAGACGCCCTGCTTGAAAAAACTGCCACGCCCAAAGCTCAGGCACCGTCGGAAGTGCGGGCTCTTGTGGCCATAACTGAAGGGGCCCTGGGACACACAAATAAATAGACACAAATAAAAGGATTCCCCCGATTTTCCCATATTTTCTGGGTTTTTGTCTTCCACCCCACTTCCCATATTTTCCCGTATTTTCTGAGGAGTCGACCATTAATTGTGTTCGGGCCGTGGCACCCCCGGGAACGCACCCGACGAGGCGCAGCTGCTGGGAAGCACCCCGAGGCGAGAAAACCTCCAGGCAAGACACCGAGATCCGACGCAGCCCCTGGCAGATCACGGCCAGGGCCTCGGACCCCGCCGCGTCACTCTCCGATCGAAGAAGGATTTAACATATCAACAGAAACTGCTGGCGCTCCGCGCGGCTTCCTTGGAGCCGCGCCGGTTCCCCCTCCCTGGCGCGCGGAGCGCGCCAGGGGCGGCGCCGGAGGCGCCGCCAGGGGGGCCCAGGCGGGGGTCCAAGAGATCCGCGCGGAGCGCCAACAGTTCATGCTTACAGCGTTTGTGTTCTTCCTCGATTCGAGCCGCATCGATCTCGCAGAGGGCCCCGGGGCCCGCGCCCCGGGCGCAAAGCTGGAGTCCCGACGCGGTGCGGTGACGGACCGCGCGGCGATGACCTCGAAAGCCCCCAAGACCTCACCGCACGGTCCGTCGACGCACGGTCTTGGGGCCTCGGAGGCCCTGGCCGCCCGAGACGGCCTCGGAGGACGACCGGAGTCCCACAACCGTGCGGCGACCTCGAATTATCCCTGGCCGACTCACCACACGGTGTGGCCGCCACCCCGTTGGGGGCGCCCAGGGCGCAAGGGCCTGGCCCGAACGGCAGCACACCCCGGGGCGGGGCGAGGATCGAGGCGGCTTCTCACCCCGGGCGACGAGCTCCTGCGCCATGCCCTGGAAGAGCCCCGGCGCCGGCGCCTTCGGTGCAGCGGAGGCCCGACCACAAGAAACCTGCCACAAGGAACCCCAGAGATCCGACGCGCTGAAAATATCAAAACGGAGGTTGTTGGCCATTTTCGGCATTTGAGGGACCTCGCCTCGCCGTGCCCCAGGATCGTCAAAAAACGGCTCGAATGAGAAACCAGTCCCTGGGAATGGGTCGAGACCTGTGGGGG